CACATCAAGTTAGTGGTGGGACATGTGCATGAATGAAGCACATTAGATTGGTCACAGCTGTTCTCTCTGGATGAGGGTGATTCTCACTTTTTGTAGTTTTGCATTTGTTTTGCTTTGTTTTAAAATGAGCATGGCATTTCTTATAATCTATCACTGTCTCATTATTTGTTTGTCCTCTTCCTACTTCCTACTAAAGTACAGACTCCTTGAAAGTGTTCATTGTTGAGTCTGTAGCACCTGCCTAATTCAGAGCAGGCATTCACTAGTGAGTATTAAAGCAGTGAATAAATGCATTGGGGAGGGGAAGTTATTTCCAACTTGGGAAATAGCCTTTCAGTCATCAGAGGAGGGGGAGATCTCATTTGATATTCAGGGGAGGGAAGAGGCTCATAGAGTTGATTTCAGAGCATTACTAAGAGTTGACATGGGGAGCACTTTGGCCCCCCATAATGTTCATAAGTAACCTGTCCAGACCATCCCAAATAAACATACAGTCAAAGTACAGTGGGCCGGGGTTTGCTCTGCAAAGGCATCTTCAAGACTAGACTTTGTTCATGCCGATCCCATCCTTCCTGTTACACCAAAAACAGCGCAGTCATCTTTGACCCCCCTCTTTCCTTTATACCCCACAGTAAGTCCATCAGCACATCCTCTGGGCTTTCGCTTTAAAGATGCCCAGACTTCAGTCACTTCTCACCATCTTTAGCTGCCACCTGGTCTACACCCCTGTTGACCTTGGGTCATGGCAGTAGCCTCTGAGCTTATTGCAACAGCCTCCTAATTGTGTCCCTGCTTTTGCTCTCGCCCCCATTCAATCTGCTACCAACAAAATGGCCAGGCAGATCCTGTTAAAACCCAGGTCATGTCCCTTCTCTGCTCAAAACCCTCAGTAAAAACCAAAGGCTTCTTCCCAGTGGCCTACAGGGTCCTGCCCATCCCAGTCCACCCATTTGTTGTTACTTCCACTTACATTAACTGCATCTCTGGTGTGATCCTGTAATTTATCATCCAAGCTAGGGCACTCTTGATAGTGAAAAGAGGCAATGTTAATTATTCATTGTGCCAGGGCAACAAGCACAAACCAGCACGGTCCTGGGCAAGCCAGACATATGCCCCTCCACTCGTCTCCCACCCTTTGTGCACACTGAGCCAGCCACCTGGCCTTATCATTCCTGCAATACCCCAGGCACTCTCCTGCCTCAGGGCCTTTGCACTTATCCTCCCTCTGCTTTACGTTTCTTAACCTTAAACCAGCGGTTCTCAACCTGTGGGTCGCGAACCCTTTGGGGGTCGAATGACCCTTTCACAGGGGTTGCCTAAGACCATCAGAAAACATATATATATATAAATAAATATATAATTACATATTGTTTTTGTGATTAATCACTATGCTTTAATTATGTTCAATTTGTAACAAGGAAAATACATCCTGCATATCAGATATTTACATTACGATTCATAACAGTAGCAAAATTACAGTTATGAAGTAGCAACGAAAATAATTTTATGGTTGGGGGTCACCACAACATGAGGAACTGTATTAAAGGGTCACGGCATTAGGAAGGTTGAGAACCGCTGCCTTAAACACACACAGCGCGCACTCCCTCACCTCATCAGCCCTTTCCCCAAATGTCACTTCCTCAGTGAGGCCCACTGTCACCACCAGTCTAAAATTGCAACCCTCCCCCCAATCCCTGTCGGCACTCTTCATTGCCTTTCCTGCATTATTTTTCTTTCCAGTACTTATTACGAACATATACTCGACATTTTTTTTATTATCAGTCTCTTCACTAGCTTCTAAGTTCCATGAGGGCAGAAGTTGTAGTACTTGTCTACCCTACTGTTTTCCCAGTGTGGAGAACAGTGCCTAGTATACAAGGGCGGGCAAAAGTAGGTTAATAATAATAAATAATACGAGAATAAACTCTGTGTTTCATGTACTCATAACTGTAAGCCTACTTTTGCCCACTTCTATATTAATGCTCGAGTATTTTTTGAATAATTTTTAAAAGTTTACTTGCACTCCTTTTTAAATAGGTGGCAGTCCTCTTGTACAGAAATTCTGAGCAGGTGGCATTGAACTGGGCCATAAAAGCCACGCTTCACCCACACCCAGGGCAAGGTGGTAGCTGATTTCCCTCTGTTGGACCACACCTGCATCCTGGGATTCTGCAGCACTTTATTGGCTGGGCAGCCTCCATTGTGAGGTAGTTCTGGTTTCCCCCTTGCCAGGGGTAGGGGAGCACTGGGCCTGGCCCCACATCCAGGCCCCAGGACCTCCAGTCCAATGGTGCCTTCTTCCTCCCAGTCACACTGTTCACTTTAGGGCTAAAGTGGGAGGGGCGGAAAGTCCAGGCAAATCCTGGCATGTGGCCAATCAAATGCAAGGGGCACTGAGGGTCCTCTTGAGATGAGACTCTCCTAAGTCCCCCCAAAAGCCGGGTGAAGCATAATCAACATCAGCTTCCCCTGCCACCAGGGGCTTCACTGATTCACACGCTCAGGCTTCACCCAGGCAGGCACCCTCAAGAATTCAGAGCTAGCATCTCAGGCCTGCAGCCCTGGTTTCTCTGGAGAAAAACCCATGGAAGGCTGGTTTGAGGCTGTTACAGGACTTAACCCTGAGCCACCACCACCTCCCCACCATGTCGAAGACTTCATTGCTTCGAAGGGACGACAGTGAGTCCAACTCCCTGGATGACGGGTCCAAGTCAGTCTCCGAGAGTAGCAGTAACACCAGCTCAGAGGGTGTCCATCCTGCTGAGGAAGCCAATAGATTGTCGTAAGTGGCTGCACTGCCCTTCCAGGTCTGAGGTCAAGCGCTGCAGCCTTCAGCTCTGGGCTACGTCTTCCTACTTCTCTCTTCTTTACACACTTATCCCCAGTGTACAGGGGACGAATGGATGAAAGAACCTTCAGAATCTGAGAAGGTTGATCTGTGTGGCTCTGGGTATTACACCTGTTGCCCAGTTTTTGCAAAGAACCCAGATAGAGTAGCCACCCCCAGCATGAGTTTCTGGGTTCCAGGAACAATTCTGTGTCTTAGGCTGGCTGCTCTTTCTGCCACAGTTTCAAGCTGCTCCCCTCTCTTCCATCTACTAGTCTTCATTTTCTCTCTGTTTCTTCCTCTCTATCCCTGTTTCCCTCCCAACAACAACCCCATCCAGGAAACAAAAGGTCACGTCCTAGCCTCATGTCCCTACTTTTACTGCCATAGACCCAGATACGTGGAAATTTTTCTTAGGACTTTATTGCCAAGCGGACTATTACCTAGTAATCAGATCACATAATAGCCATGGGCATGATGAGATTATAAATGACAATACCCAGTGTGGATAAGGGTGTCAAGAAATGTCCTCCTCTCTCATGTCCTTTTGGTATCTTTGAAGATGACAATGTTGTAATGTATTGCAGATCCTAATGTATATTTACATAAAACATACAAATACTATTTTGCATTTGCTTTCTTTGAAAATACACACATACACACACAACTGGCAGTAGTGACTGCTCTGGGGAAAGAATTGGGAAGCAGAGAAGGGAGAGATAGGTATGCATGATGATTTTATTGAAACACTGATTATAGTGTTGACAATTCAGAAACAATAAGAGATCATTTAAATAAAGTATGTACACACACAATAGAGTAAATACAGCCATTACAGATGATGAAGGAAATCTATGGTTGTGAAAAATGTATAGGACATACTATTCATAATGAAAATTAGTTTAGGATATAGTATTATAATGCTTTTCCTTGTGTAAATGGTGTGTGTTTATAAAAGCAAATAAGCAAATAAGGATGCCCAGAAGAATGTCAATCAAAATGTTAAAGGTGATTATTCCCATTTAGTGAAATTTTGGTATTTCCTTTTATAACACCAATGTAATATTTTTCAAGAAAAATATAAATATAACTTTTTTTAATTCCCAGGAATTCCTCACATGTTTTACTCTCCAAGGCCCTGATCTATGATGGGGTTAGCTAACAGCTTCTCCAAAACCTTGTCTCCCCTTTCCCAGGAGACCTGATTCAAGTGAGACTGGACACCACTCTAGGAAAGAAGTGAGGGGAGGAGGGGAGGAAGTAGGGAGAAAGAGCAAATCTTTTGAAAAAATTCTTATCAAAGAATTGACAAAATATTGTTTAATGTTTTTGCTTTGACATATTTTTCAATAATTCCAGTTACCAAGAAATAAATGTCACCTCTTAGAAGTGAAGGGACAATGGGTGCCCCCATCCTTAGATAAATAGACTTAACTCACCCCTGCCAGACACATAGTAAGCATTCTACATGCACAGTAGCAATGTTATTAAATTTGATCCAATACATAGCATGGAATAAGTTCAAAATGTATACTGGTCGGGTAAATAGATGAAAGGGTGAACGAGAACCAGTAAATATTCCATATATTGGTGTGAGGTTATGTTTTTTCTAGGGAGTGAATTAATCAATGACCTGGCACCAATAATTACTCCATAAATTGAGAAAATTGTTAATTTTTTTCACTGTCTACCTAAATGCTACATCTAGTAGGTCTTCATAAATATTGAGTGAATAAATCATGAAAGAAACCATTGGGTGAGTTAATGAATAAACTGGTACTAGGGAGTTATCCAGATGGTAGCAATTATTAGAAACATTTTCTTTAATGCTTAGTGCATGTTAAATATTCGTTGAGCTCCCCTAGCCAGTGTGGCTCAGTTGGTTGGGCATCGTCCCATGCATCGAAAGGATTGCCAATTTGATTCTTGGTCAGGGCACAGGCCTGGGTTGTGGGCTTGATCAGAGGTAGGAAGCATGCAGGAGGCAGCCAGTCAATGTTTCACTTTCACATCGATGTTTCTCTTTCTGTCTCCCCCCTCTCCCTTCTGCTCTTTCTCTAAAAAAAAAAAAAAAAAAAAAAAAATCAATTAAAAAACATATTTGTTGAGCTATCTGAACTAGCCCAGCTCTGGATCAGCTCCTCCAGGACAGATCCTGGGACCTAAACCAGAGTCCACTTTATCGGGTTTTGTCCCTCTTCCCCACAGAAGGTGCTGGAGGTGCTGGAAGGAGGCTGAGTTTTGGGCCACCCTTCCCTTCCACTAACATGCCCTCTTGTCTCCCTGCTCTTCCCACACAGGATGATGCAAACCTTGGTCCATTTATTGAAATGCAACATTGGCACCGGGCTCCTGGGTCTTCCCATGGCCATGAAAAATGCCGGCATCTTGGTAAGAAGAATCTGGTGATGAAAACTAGGTTTACCCATTTGGGGGAATAGGGTGGTGGGTCCATGAGGCCTTTGCACTGTTTATCAATAGACAATTCGGGGTACCCTCTGTAAGAGCAAATGTGAATGCAGGCATCAATCCACAGGAGCCAACCTGGAGCCCGGAGGGACAGGACATTATTCTTTTCCCAGTTTTATCTATACTAATAAAAGGGTAATATGCTAATTAGACCGGGAGACCTTCCAGGAGACCTTTTGGACGTCTTTCCAAACAAAGCCATGGTGGTGAGGCCAAGGCAGAGGTGGTTAGGGGCGATCAGGCCAGCGGGGGGGCGGGGTAGTTGAGGGCGAGCAGGCCCATAGGGGGGGGTGCAGTTTGGGGTGAGCAGGCCGGCAGGCAGGTGAGCGGTTAGGAGCCAGCAGTCCCGAATTGCAAGAGGGATGTCCAACTGCCAGTTTAGGCCCGATCCCTGTGGGACATCCCCTGAGGGGTCCCAGATTGGAGAGGGTGCAGGCTGGGCTGAGGGACACCCCCCCCCCCTCAGTGCATGAATTTCATGCACTGGGCCACTAGTTGAGGTATAATTGACATGCAGCTCTGTATAAGTTTAAAGTGTACGTGTACCACATAATGACTTGACATAGAGATATTGTAAAATGATTACTACAATCAGTTTAGCTAACATTCATCCTCCTGGTACAAAAAAAATGTTTTTCCTTTGAGATGAGAACTTTTAGGATCTACTCTCTTTGCAACTTTCAAATATGCCCCACAGCAGTGTCAACTGCAGTCCTCATGCTGTACATTACACCCCCAGTGCCTATTTATCTCATAACCGGAAGTTGGACCACTTCATCCAGCGGTCCCGGATTGCAAGAGGGATGTCCAACTGCCGGTTTGGACCACCTTCATTCAATGCCCCCACCACCCTGCCATTATTCTTCAAGACCATCCTCACAGACTGATACATAGTCAACTTTGCCACAGTCCTCCCCATGCCCCAGGATCACCCACCCATTTCCTCGTTCCCATTAGCAGCCCAGTCCCTGAAGTTAGTATGAACATGTGGCTTCTGTTTCAGTCCATTTGATCAACTCTGAGAGAGTGGCTTGGAAGATGAGGATAACATCTTCTCCAGTCCCCTCCCCTCCCCGCCACTCACCTCTGTCTCTTTATAGGCCATTCCCTTCTCCCTCCTCTGTAAAACTTGACTGATTCCTTTTGACCTTAATGCCACTGTCACCTTCTGGTTCTCTAGAACTTATACCTACCTCACCTGGAATTCTTACAGCACTTACAAAAGTGAGACACACTTCTTTAATATTTCTATGTTCCTCACTTACCTGAAAGTTCTGAGGGCAGGAACTTTGATTTATCTTAACACGTCTCCAGCGTACCCACTGTAGAGACTGGCACACGGGAAGTCCCAATTCATGTGTATTGAATTAATGCTAAACAGACGATTTCCATTTAATCGAAGTGAATTTCTCCTCCTATCCAGGCCTGGTAAGTGGCCCCGTGTCTAAAGAAGGCATATTGAGACCCTGGTTTCTGTTATAACTTCCAACCTGTGGCAGTTCTAACCCAGAAATGGGACTCTCCCCTTTGGAATTCTCAGGGTTCTAGAATTTCTAAAGAGTATTATTACCCCATTGCCACTGTCTTTGCCAATGTGGAATTTGCTGTTTAAGGTAATTCTTTTGTCCTTTTATTTTGCTTCCTAATCTCCCACCAGAACCTTTGACCATAATTCACTCAAGAAATATGTATATTGAATAACCATTATGTGCATTCTTAGAGCCTGGGAATATAGAAGTAAATAAGGCAGCGTCTCTGCTATAAGGAGGTTACATTCTAGTGGAATCTAGTGGTACTCTTGATCTCTCATTTGTTTCTTTATGATAGATAATATTATCTCAGGTCACATCTCTAAAGGTATGAGTGTCCAGAACAAAGGAGGTGAGCCAGACCCTCTTTACTCAATGCCTATTGCACTGCATGGGAGATTATGATTAATAATGAGCCCTGTTTTTTAATCTCTTCCCACATACAAAGAAAAAATGGAAACTATGTGAGAAGATATGTTCATTAGCTTGATTACAGTAATCATTTTACTATCTATGTGTATATCAACTCATCATGTTGTGCACCTTAAATATATACAACTTTTAGTTAAAAATAAAAGAAATATTGACAAATTAGACATACGAAGGGAGTGACTCTCAACTGGGGACAATTTTTCACACACGTCCCCAAAGATATGGATAATGTCTAGAGACATTCTTGGTTGTCACAACTAGTTTGGAAAGGGAGCATGCCACGGATACCTGGTGAGTAGAGGCCGAGGAATGCTGCTAAACATCCTAAAACACACAGGACAGCCCCCACAACCAAGAATCACCTGGCCCACAATGTCACGAGTGCCCGTGTTGACACCCTTACTAGAGGAAAAGTCCCAAGTCTAGGAAGGCAGTGAGTGCTCTGCCACTGGAAGTGTCCTGTGGAGGTTGGGCAGCCACTTCATAGTGATGCTAAGAAGGGCATGTCGGCCAGAACATCTGGAGGCATTAGGACACTCAGGCAGGGGCTCTCACCCCAGAGGCAGCTTTATCATCAGAGGCTGGGAGAGGCCCGGGTGTGGGAGCCTCAGTGCGTGGCTAACCATCCCCGCCTCTCTCCTGCCCTCCAGGTGGGTCCCCTCAGCCTGCTGGTCATCGGGATCATCACAGTGCACTGCATGGTCATCCTGGTGAACTGCGCCAATCACCTCAGTCACAGGTGAGGGTCCTGCTTCTCTCTCAGCCCGTGCCAGGCCCTGTCTGAGGGTGTGTTCAGTTTCCTTTGACTTAACCCAATTACCTGGTCATTTCTTCAAGCCACCACCGCCCCTGCTGTTCTAGATTCTACAGAGGCGGTGATAAAGAACTCCACTGGAAACTCCTGGGTTCAGGCCCAACTCTGCTGCTAACCAGCTGGACGATACTGTCAAGCTCCAGCTCCCCCTGAACCTAGAGAGATCACATTGATACAAGATGCAAACATGCTCTATAAACCGCCATGTTTATGTGAGATACTTAGAGATATGTTTCTTTCTCAACCTCCCCCCACCTCCCATACACGCACTTTGTATGGGTCATTTGTTCCAGATAAACCTTTTGGGGGACAATTTAGTAAAAGTGAAAAAGTTAGCGATGAAATGACTAGTTTGCAATTACATCAGTCGTTAATACAGCACATATCTGATACTCAGTATTTATATTTTTTAAACTTCAATGCAAAGAAAAGACAAATGCAGTGAAAACAAGTAATGCTGAGAGTTTCCTATTTAAAAACTACCATTCATGGGTGATTAGTAATTCCTTACTTCCCACCACCTGGTGGCTCTCTACCCATAGCACTGAGCTGTTCCGGAGGTGTGTAAGTCTAAACGAGTCATCAGACACGTGCAGAAAGACTTCCAAAGTCAAAGTTGATGAAACTCCTCTTAAAGCCAATTTATCAAACCCAAATAGGTGTATCTGGAGACTATATCAGTCACACCTAATTTGTGGAGCACTTTCCAGCTCACAAAACACTGGTAAGAGCACTTACTCATTCTGCAATTAAATTTATTGCACAATTACACTGTGGCAGGCACATGGCAAGAGCTTTGCAAACCTTCTTCTATTTACTCCTTACAGTAAACTTTTATAGCACCATTATTCCCATTTTACAGATGAGCAAACTGAGACTTAGATCTGCGTTAGATGCCTTGCTCAGGGTCAGAAAGCTAGGGAGTGGCAGAGCTGGTATTCCAAAACCTCTCTGACTCCACTCTAACATTTTGCAAATTTCTTTTTCCCTCAAGCCTACGGGGGCCATCATATCACCAAGTAGTCTTCTAATATCTATGCCATACATGATAGCCTTCCCTTGGGGTTTGTTTGTTGTTGTTGTTTTTGATTACTTGTTTTTCTTTTTTCTTTTTCCATTTTTCTAATACAGAGGTTACAGACTGATGGTATAAGAGCTGACTATGGCCTTTGGATATGTTTTGGGGAAATTCCACAGTTTTTGCTTTGTTTTGTTTTAGCCTACATTTAAAAATTCAGAGATTTCACATTTAAAAAAAGATCTTCATCTTCTTCTTGCCTGTTAGACAGTCTGGTACCTCTGGGGCTTCACTCATTCAGCTGAAGCCAAGTCCCAGTCAACCCCTTTCAGGACGGGGAGTGAACCAGAGGGTTTGCCACTGTCTCCACTATTCCCCGTTGTCTCATACCAGCCCCTCTCACCACATTACTGATACCGGTTTGGTCCCCAGAGCTTTTGAATTTGTAATCCTCAGACCAATATTTGCCAGTCCTATGCATTGTGACCTCCTTTATATTTGAAATGCCAAACACAGTAATAATAAAAATAGAAGAACCATGCGGCCTTCCCAACACATCTCTGTATCCATCTCTCACTGTTTCCTCCTCCAAACCCAGACTGAGGTCCAGAAATCTAAAAAGACCAACTCGCCCCAACCGGTTTGGCTCAATGGATAGAGCGTCAGCCTGCGGACTCAAGGGTCCCAGGTTCGATTCCAGTCAAGGGCATGTACCTTGGTTGCAGACACATACCCAGTAGGGAGTGTGCAGGAGGCAGCTGATCGATGTTTCTCTCTCAGCAATGTTTCTAACTATCCCTCTCCCTTCCTCTCTGTAAGAAATCAGTAAAATATATTATTTAAAAAAAATAAAAAAAAGTAAAGAGACCTCCTCAAGGTCTCCCAGCTATCAGAGAGGGCATATTGGGATCTTTTCCCCTCCCAGCTACTCCCCTCAGTCCTGCAATTGACTTGGGGATCAGGGTCCTCGACAAACTGCTGCTGCTCCCACTTACACGGGGCAGTTCCTCAGCAGGGCCTTCCCCACCCCGAGGAAGGGCCGCCGAGGGAAGAGGGACAAGATAGGCTGGAATGTGGGTGTCACATCCTACAGGGCTGCTGGGCAGGAGCCCGAGTATCATCTTTGCGTGTGATATGGTCCCGGATAGGCCTCCCAAATGTCCCAACACCCTCAGCCGTGGGAAGGAGGGAATGTAAGCCCAGAAACCCAACCCCTCTCTCCTCCTCCCTCCTCCCCCTGACCGGGCTTGCACACTTCACACCTCCTTTCACATCCTCTCTTCCTGGTTTGCAGACTAATCAACTCACAGCTACTGTTTACTTTTTAAAAATCCACTTAAGTAGTAGTGTTTTTAAAAAATGCTACAAAAAAAGAGAAGAGGCTGACTCCTGAAAGTTGTTCAAGTATATACTGTTATAAAATATTTCCGTAATAGTGTTGCTAGAAAATAACTAGAATGCTCCATGTTAACACACAAATGTATAATAATTACTCACTATAGGAGTAAATTGTACTTTTCACAAAAATGTTCTAAGTTATGCATTTCTTGTTCTTCCTCTAGACTGCAAAAGAGTTTTGTGAACTACGGAGAGGCCATGATGTATAGCCTTGAAACCTGCCCAAACGCCTGGCTGAGGACCCACTCGGTGTGGGGAAGGTAATAGTCATAGATGTCATAGCAGTAATAATAACAACAACGGCACTAATAATCCTCACCTGATCTTCCTTTATTTCTAGTTACACAGGTTTTAAATGAATATGTCCTTATTACAAAGTGTCAAACACTATAGAGCATCTCCTTGAATAGCTCCATTTGCCACTCCCACTCTTTACACAAGAAGTAACCACTGCTATCTAGTTAGTCAGTGTTCCTCTAGACTTGTTTTTCTCTGCATGTATGTGTGGGAATGGAAATATATATTTTTAAGATTTTTTTACAATTTAAAAATATTTTTTTTATTTTTAAAGATTTTTAGAGAGTGGAAGAAAGAGAGAGAAACATTGATCAGCTGCCTCCTGCACGTCCCTTACTGGGGATCCAGCCCCCAGCCTGGGCATGTGCCCTGATGGAAAATCGAACCGGCAACCTTTCGGTGCACAGGATGACACGCAACCAACTGAGCCACACCAGCCAGGGCTGAAAATATACACGTTGTTTTGTATTATCTTGTACATTAATTAGAATAATTTTTGGAAATCTGCTCTTTCATCTAACAATATGTTTCAAATTTCTTTCCACATGGGGACATAGAAATCTCTCTCATTTTTTAAAAGCTCACAATGTTCCCAGTATGGATGTATACCATAGATTTATCTAATCCTTTTCCTAATAGTGAACATTTAGGTTGTTCCCTTGCTTGATAAAAAGTTTATGGCATACAAAATGCTTTTCTATGTCTTGGCTCCTTGGATCTTCTCAATGACTTTGTGAGGTAGGCCGGGGGTTTTTTGTCCTGGGAATATGAAGTAACCAAGGCTCATAAAGACAAAATAACACATCCAAGGACATAGAGATAGTGGTGGAGCAGAGATTCGATCAAGAACCTGACATTTCAGCCCTGGCCAGTGTGCATCTTCCCATGCACCAAGGGGTTGCCAGTTCGATTCCCGGTCAGGGCACATGCCCAGGTTTGCAGGCTCGATCCCCGTAGGGGGTGTGCACGAGACAGCTCATCCATGTTCTGCTCTCACATTGATATTTCTCTCTCCCTCTACCTTTCTCTCTCTCTAAAAACCAATAAAAAATCTTAAAAAGGACCTCACATTTCATCCTTCCCAGCAGAGCCCCTCAGGAGGTAGTGAGTCAGCACTGTGGCTCCCAAGATTCCTGTGGCCACGCCTCACCTGGGACTCTCAGTAGGTCATTGATCTCCTGATTAGGAGTCCCACTAATTATCAGGCCGGTGAAATCTTGGGGCAGCAATATTGGGTGACTCCTAATTGCCCCATCCTTTGTTACCACGGTTTGTCAGTTTCTGATGGCACCATGAGGAAAACGTTTGGGTGGAAAGAGTCCTTAGAGATCACCATAACCATGGCTATTCTAATGGAGGAAAAAATGAAGCCCAGATGGGGCAATAAAGCTGCCCAAGTTGACACAGGAATGCAGTGGCAGAGCGAGGACTGGAATCCAGAACATCTAGCTCCCACCATTCCATTTCTCTGGCGGTCCAGTAACTGAGAAAGAGTTGGGAAAACATTTATAACAATGATTGGTAATTTTTAGTGTGCCAAGGGATACCTGGGAAGCTTGATTAAAAACTGCTCATTTCAGCCCTGGCTGGTGTGGCTCAGTTGGTTGAGCCGTGTCCTGTGCACTGAAAGGTTGCCACTTTAATTCTTGGTCAGGGCACATGCCCGGGTTGCAGGCTCGATCCCTGGTGGTGGTGTGTGGGAAGCGGTAGATCAGTGTTTTGCTGCTTCACCAATGTTTCTCTCTCTCTCCCTTTCTTTCTCTCTCTAAAAATAAGAATAAAAAATAAATCAATGAAAGATTAAAAACAAAAACACAAAACTGCCCATTGCACATAGGCAATAATCATCAATGGATGTTCAAGCCATTAGGTGAAAGGTATTGGGAAACTTCGTGAAGGAAGAATACACTGACACCACCAGACCCCAGGTACTAATCTTGGCGTCTCATGTTTACACACAGGACAGCCAGGCGTGAGGTATCTTATAAAAGGGTACAGTAGGGAGTACAGAGCACGCCTCTGAAATGTCCTCACTAGGAAGATACATGATGAACCTCAGTCTAATCAAGCTGCTAGATCTAACATCAGTTTACAGGAAACACAGGATAGAGAAACAAGATAACCGACATTATGAAGTCATCAACTAAAATCTAGAAAGTGGGCCATACTATGGGACAAAGTATCTGATAGCTTCAATACTAACCAAAAAATTAAAAGTTGCAAAGAAAAACAAATAAAACAAGTCAAAAGGAATCTAGCAGTTTAAAAAACTTAAGAGACTTAATAACTAAATGCAATGTATAAACTTTTTAGAAACTGTAAAATAGACATTTTTTGAGCCAATTAGAGAAATATTATTCATATTCATATGGGCTGAATATTAAATAATATAAAGGAATTATTGTTAATTTTGTCTGGGTTGATAATGGCATGATGGCTATTTGTTTAAGTCCTTGTCCATTAGGGTTGCATTCTGAGTTATTGCCCTTGACCGGAATCGAACCTGGGACCTTTCAGTCCACAGGCTGATGCTCTATCCACTGAGCCAAACCGGTTATGGCATAAAATAGACATTTTTTGAGCCAATTAGAGAAATATTATTCATATTCATATGGACTGAATATTAAATAATATAAAGGAATTATTGTTCATTTTGTCAGGGTTGGTAATGGCATGATGGCTATTTGTTTAAGTCCTTGTCCATTAGGGTTGCATTCTGAGTGAGTGCCACAAGATCTTCAGTTTGCTACAAATATTCCAACAAAAGAAGCATGTGTGTGGTGTAGGGGTGAAGGGATAGATGGAAGAGGAGTGGAAAAAACTTCACTGTTGTTGAAGCTGGCATGGGCACACGAGAATTCACTGAATTATTGTCATTGCTTTTGTATATGTTTGAAAATCTGCCTAGTAAAGAGAGAAAAGACTTCTCCATTTTGAAATCTCACATGACATCACCCAGCCTCTGACTCAAAAGCTGATATGAGAGCCAGGAATGCCTAAACCTCAGATGATTCTGATGTAATTGATACTACAACCCAATTTTGAAAAACACCGATCTAAACTTTAGAATCTAAGTAGAGTAGCATATTTTTGTTCCCTAAAAATGAATAAATGCATCCTCAAATGGAGACAATTTAAAAATCTAAGAGAGCTCAGCCATTGTTACTCAGTGGTTGAGCATTGAACCAGGAGGTCACGGTTTGATTCCCGGTCAGGGCACATGCCTTCATTGTGGGCTCAATCACCAGCCAGTCGATAATTCTCTCTCATCATTGATGTTTCTATCTCTCTCTCCCTCTCCCTTCCTCCCTTTGAAGTCAATAAAAACATATTTTAAAAATAAAAATAAAAGCATAATGATTATGATGGAGTATAATATATTAAATTTTAAAATAATGGATTGGAGGGAGCATTTGAAATCTTGCTTCCCAGCAATGTTATCAGTTTGGCTCAAAAGTTCAAAAAAATTAAAGTGAGTCTATCGTAATTTTTTTAAAAAGCGGAGAAAGAATAATGCTAGCTAATAAATTTAGAAGAAATGACAGATAAAATTAGAAAACCACCACCTTGCAACCACTGATGAGATAATTGATTCAAGCAAGGGTCGTTAATGAACGTTAAAACCCTTAGTTTGAGGGGAATCGGATTTTCATGCCATCTCAAAGTTTTACCATCAGATTACAGAGAAGGAAATGTACATTGGAAAAGTCTGGCAGTCACTTCACAGTGTAACCACAGGACATCATGTGCCTCCCGATATGATGAAAAAACGTACAAAATATCACTTATGTGGTAAGCTTACCAAAGTGCTTATCTAGACCTGATCACGAGGAAACAATTATACAAGTCCACAATGGGGGCATTCAGCACGACAGTTGGCCTGGACTCTTCCCAGAAAAACAAGGTCATGGAAAACAAAAAAGGCGGATTTGGGGCTGTTCCACATGAAAAAAGACTAAAGAGACACAGCCTTAATGCAATATACAAACATTGATTAGATTCTGAATTAAAAAAACACACAGCTAATCAAGATATTTTGGAGAGAATTGGGTTATTTAAAAATGGACTGTATGTGTATATTGAAGTTGATTTTCTGGGCATCACAGTCTTAAGAGAGGTATGCCGAGGTATTTAGAGTTGAAGTGTTCTATCTACAATTGACTTTCAAATGGTTCTGAAAAAGTGTGTGTGTGTGTGTGTGTGTGTGTGTGTGTGTGTGTAATACATACATGATGCAGTTAGGGCCAAAAGTTAAAAATTGGTATATCTAGTTAAAGGATATATGGATGTTAATTATACTGGTCTTTCACCTTTTTCTGTGGACTTGAAAATTTTCAATATAGAAAAGTGGGGAAATATTTAAAATAACAGAAATAATTATTTCAAAAAATAGAAATGAGTGCATTTTTAAAAAATAATTTTCTCCCTCTGTCTGCCTCTTCTTTTCCTTCCCAGGTACACCGTCAGCTTCTTATTAATCGTCACTCAACTGGGCTTCTGCAGTGTGTATTTTATGTTTATGGCAGACAATTTACAACAGGTAAAGAGGCCTCTTCTAGATAGAATGGGAGAAGAGCAGACCTCCTACTGCTAGGGCTGCATGAGCAAAAGTATACAGTTCAGATCTTGGGAGGAGATGGCTTCATTTCTCACCCCTGATGAGACTACTCTTGGGAGTTCTCTCAATCCTGGGAATCACTCTTTTAAAGGATCAGAGAGGGGTGTAACCAGGATGGAGAGAGGCTTACAATCATGTCCAATCAGAAATAATTGAGATTTTCTTTTTAGCCTGAAAAGTGTTAGTAAGATTTACTTTAAGTACCTGAGGGTTGTCATATAGAGATGACTAATTAAATGTAAGGCGAACAAGCTACAACCTTGCCCTCATTACATTCCTAACAGGCATTACAAATCAATCTTAGCCTTCTCTCTTGACTTCATGGAGTAGAGAGAACATATTTGTGTTTGTACTCTCAAATAGCCAGAACTATAACAAGTCATGTAGATGGAATATTCAAGTAGATAGAAGGTGCCCAATATTGAGAGCTTTCTACCTTTTAGAGCTATCTAAAGTAGAAGGAAATACCTTTGTTTAGTCAACTTCCAATGTTTGGGTGGATGAAAGAAAACCATTTTGTAGGGAAGAAGAGGTTGGGCTAGATGACAAAAGGAGAGTTTATGGCCCTGACAGGTTGGGTTGTCACAGTCATGGGCACTACGGTTAGGGTAACCAGATTTGGCAAATAAAAAATATATAACACTCAGTTAAATTGGAATTTCAGATAAGCAGCAAATAACTTTTTTTTTTTTACTATGATTATGTCCTATGTAATAATTTGGGACAAGTTGTACTAAAAAATTACCTGTTCATCATCTGAAATAGAAACTTACGTGGGTATCCTTTGTTTAATCTTTACCCCTACCTGTCCTCCCTGCTTTGTGCTCTATGTCAGATAGTGGAAGAAGCCCACGTGACCTCCAACACCTGCCAACCCAGGAAGATGCTGGTGCTGACTCCCATCCTGGACATTCGCTTCTACATGCTGACCATCCTGCCCTTCCTGGTCCTGTTGGTGTTTATCCAGAACCTCAATGTGCTGTCCGTCTTCTCGACTCTGGCCAACATCACCACCCTGGGGAGCATGATTCTGATCTTTGAGTATATCATGCAGGTCTGTGCCTGAAGCCAGAAGCGGGTCAGTGTCTAGGGTTTCTGAGACACCCGGGGAACATTATTACCTTTATGGGCAGGTCAAGGTAAGGAAGGTGACCCCCTGCTCTAAGCAGCCCCTGCTATGGTGATAGCTGTGAACACTTTTTTTTTTAAAGATTTTTAATTTTTTCAAGATTTTTTTGTAAGATTTTTTATTCTTATTGACTTTTAGGAAGAGAGAGGAATCCTTATCTGGGCTGTGCCCCTAACTTGGAGGGTAGCCTCAGGCAATTCCACTCTCCTCCCTGGGTCCCACATTTAAAGATGGGAGGACTCCCCATAGCGAAAAGGTAGAAACAACCCAAATGCCCATCACTGGACAAATGGATAAACAAATACGGTAAATACAGTGAAATATTATTCAGCCTTAAAATGGAATGAAATTCTGATCTATGGTAAACAATATGGACCAACCTTAAAGACATGACGCTAAGTGAAGTAAGCCATCACAAAAAGACAAATATGGTCTGATTTCACTGACATGAGGTACCTAGAATAGTCAAATTCATAGAGATAGAAAGTAGATTAGGGGTGGCCAGGGGGCCGGATAATGGGGAGTTATTAATGGGTACAGAGTTTCAGTTTGGGATGATGAACAAGTTTTAGAGATGGCTAGCGGTGTTGGTTGCACAACCATGTGAATGTACTTAATGCCACTGAACTGTACACTTGAAAATGGTTAAATATGTAAATTTTATGCTATGTGTATTTTACCACAATAAAAATAACTTTTTAAAAGTTGAGAAGGCTGAGCAATTCCAGATATCTCCTGGGTGCTCGTAACACTGTCTCTGTTGATGTCAGGGTTGGCCCAGCTGTCTACCAGGCAATGATTTTTGTGCCACGGCAAAGCCAATGCCCTTCTTCCCCTTCCTTTCAGGAGATTCCAGATCCCGGCAACCTGCCCTTGATGGCAAGCTGGGAGAACTTCCTGCTGTTCTTCGGCACAGCCGTCTTCACGTTTGAGGGCGTCGGTATGGTAAGATTGATGTGGGTCTCGAGGGAAGCCAGTCATTGGGCTCTCGGGGGAAGCCAGTCATTGTCCCACATGAGCAAATAATAGTATTTATGGAAAGTGAGAATATGATCTTCTCCTGGTGGAAGGGAATGTCAGGACCCATTCTCAGGGCCCCAAATGCCTCGTGCACCACGCTAAGCTTTGAAGACTGAGTGAGGATTCACTCTCCAGCCCAGATGGAGGAGGAGGGCAGTCCTGGCCATAGAGAGCATAGAGGGAAGTGAAAGGGGGTGTGGCCAGGTGGAGAGGCCCCTTCCTGGCCCCAGGGCCACCAGGAAAAGGATGTCTGTGCTTGTGGGGAACCGGCTCCTTCACAAGGTGTCACATCTCCTTCTACCTTTCCTTTTACAACTTCCTTTCACCACCAGGTTCTGCCCCTCCAAAACCAGATGAAGCATCCACAGCAGTTTTCTCTTGTTCTGTACTTGGGGATGTCCCTTGTCATCATCCTCTTCATCTGCATGGGGTCGTTTGGCTACATGAAGTTCGGGTCGAAAACCCAGGCCACGCTATAACGTCTCAACTTGCCCAATTGCTGGT